AATGCCTATGGGCGCACATATGAGCAAAAATGCATTTGCTATTTAAACAGCATGGTGCTAAACGTCAAAATGACCCTTGTGCCAAGCTGAAGCTAGCAAACAACATTTGCGTCACGCCTTGCGCTGCATTGCGCCGGGTGTATGATAGGGCCCACACTGTCAGCTTGCATTAGAAAATGGTCAGTTTACTGTTAGGAAAGCCACATCATGCAAGTCTTTTTCATGCGCCATAGATGCATATGGAAAAAAAAACACCTTTTGCGCGATGTGATAATGCCTTAAAGTTTTACCCTTTAGCAGTCACAAGACTGGAACCTCAGGTTTAAGATGGCACTTATGTCTCTTTACAAAGGGGAAAAAAACAGACATTAAACCTGCAATGCAAGCACAACCTACAGTTCTCTCTCTTTTGGTTGTACTTAATTTAAACGTAAGATTTTGGAAACCAAATTTAAATTCAGCAAAAATGGTTGTTTTATATAGAAAATTATACTAAGCAGGCAGTGGGTGAACAAAGGCTGAATGTAAAGCAGGAGTGTTCGGGTGTGGAATAAAACCTCGCAGGAGCAAGACTAAAAAAACAGTCCCATGCAGACCTCTAGTTTGAACTACTATTACAATAGTTACAGTCAAACCATCTGTAGGAAAAACATTATTTTCCATTCCATATGTACCAGACACTTTCTTATAACCGCTGTATATCTCTGGGAAACGGTGCAATTCTGAGTGTACTTCATGCAGGTGAGTAGGCTTGACAAACTGTCTGTAGGAGATGCACTCTTTCCTATCTGTTTACATGTATATATGTGTGTGGATGTGTTTGTGTTTGTATGTATTTAATTGTTAAAAAGGGTAATTTCTCCCATTTATTTGCATTATGGGACCTTGATCTTTCTTCCAACAACGTTTAACCCTAAAAAAATTCCAAAACGTGACTTTTATTAACATTTTGAATAGTTTAAAAGATATATTGTCTGGGTCGGTGTTGTATTGTACAGAACAAAAACCTTGTAATATACTGCCAGTACATTTTTTTCTGTTATTTTACAGACTTATTTCTCTATACATTATTTATTATACATTATTTTATTTCAGACTAATTTACTTGTTTAAGTGCAGAGTTGAATTTTCAACATCAAATATCGACAGAGCAGAGATCAGGTCCCATAATGCAATTCACAACCACAAATAAACGAAAAACACTTGTGAATCACAAAATATGGAAACTGTTAATTAACAGATAATTTTTTAACCATATATTTATTGCCACTTTCTGGTGATTTGAAGTGTTTTTTTTTATCCTCATTTGTTAGTTGCTTTGGATATAAGAGTCTATTAAATGAGTAAATTTAATTGTAGCATCCCACAAATTTCCAGCATAAACTCAAAACACTAGCAAAAAATAAAACACCACATTGGAACATGTGTCAATAACAGTGTTATAGCAGCAAAAAAAAAAAAAAAAAAAAAAAAACAACAACAACAACAACAGAGAATTGCTTAAAACTATGTGCAGGGGATGTACGGCGATCACTTCATGCAGAAGTATGGATTGGGCTTAAACAAATAGAACATTCATCCAAACTAAAAATCTAATTATAAATCTAATCTAAAATGGAATTGTGTTTACGAAAGGGTGAGTGGGAAATTTGAAAGGACTTTGATATCTGGCTCAATTACTACTGTGCAAACTTGGCTCCAAATTATTTCATCAGTGTCATCAGTGTCATCAAAAGATGACAGCAGCCATACCAGGGACTTTTTGGCTTCACGTTTCTATTGTAGAAGACATTGCGAGAATCGATCTTTAAGTCATTGCTTTATTGACAATAGACAAAGGATAGTTTTGCCCCAAAGAATTTCAGAGTAGTTTAAAAAAAATGGAGGAACTCTAGAGACAACATAAATTGTAAAATAGTGTCTGTAAATGAGCAGTTTTCCGTATTTTGTGATTCATGTTTTTACTTTCCCCCATTTATGCATGCTTTTAAATTGCATTATGGGACTTTTGAACTGCCAGCACTTTTTATGTTATTTTACAGACTTGTGTCTCTCTCTATACAATTTATTATATGTTATATCATTTAAAACTACTAGATTGTCAATAAGGGTCCCTTTGTTAAACTGTAGAGTTTAATTTTCAACTTCAAGCTGGTTCAAAATGCAGCTGCTAGGCTATTAACTGAGGAAAAAAAATTCTAGTTTCTTACCAGTTTTATCATCTCTTCACTGGCTCCCAGTCTACTTGTTTTTAAAGGTTTGAATGGTCTGGCACCTATTTACATCGGTGAGCTTCTTCACTAGCACCTCATTGAGGCCAAGTCGGAAAACAAGTTTTAGCTAGTTGTTCCCAAAACACCGTTGAAATTAAGAGGTGACAGGGCTTATTCTGTCACAGCCTCCCGTCTGTGGAATGGTCTGCCTTTACATATTCGGTGATGGTGCTTTTAAGTCTCATTTAAAATATCACCTTCTGTCTCTTGCTTTTTGATTGCAAATAATTAATTTTAAACTGTTTTATATGTTTTGCTTATATATATATATATATAGATTTATCTAAGTATAGATTATGTATGCAGGTCAGCATCTGTTGTTTTTAAAAAGTTGACAAAGCAGAGATCAGGTCCCATAATGAAATTCACAACACTAAATAAATGACAAACACTTGTGAATCTCAAAATACAGAAACTGTTCATTAACAGATATTTTTACAGTTTAGTTTAAATTATGATTTTGATTATTTATATATATATATATATATATATATATATATATATATATATATATATATATATAATTTTAAAAAGCTTTGTAACAATCTGTCCCATTTGGATTCATAAATTCATTCATTTATTTTCTTCTCATCTTAGTCCCTTTATTAATCAGGAGTCGCCACGGCGGAATCAACCGCTAACTTATCCAGTACATGTTTTACGAAAAGGATGCCCTTCCAGCTGCAACATATCACTGGAAAACATCCACACACACTTATTCATTTTGGGGGAAACCGGAGCACCCGGAGGTAACCCATGCCAACACAGGGAGAACGTGCAAACTCCACCCAGAAATGCCAACTGACCCAGCTGAGGCTTAAACCAGCAACATTCTTGCTGTGAGGCGATAGCACTACCCACTGTGCCTCCGTGCCACCCTAATTGGATTCATTCATTCATTTTCTTGTCGGCTTAGTCGCCACAGCGGAATGAACCGCCAACTTATTCAGCAAGTTTTTTTTATGCAGCGGATGCCCTTCCAGCCACAACCCATCTCTGGGAAACATCCACACACACATTCACACACACACTCATACACTACGGACAATTTAGCCTACCCAATTCACCTTTACCGCATGTCTTTGGACTGTGGGGGAAACCGGAGCACCCGGAGGAAACCCACGCGAAGACAGGGAGAACATGCAAACTGAGACGAGGTTCGAACCAGCGACCCAGCGACCTTCTTGCTGTGCGACGACAGCACTACCTACTGCGCCACTGCCTCGCCTCTAATTGGATTAATAAAACCATAAATATACATAGATGCCTCTGCTATTTCTTTGGGCTGTAAGTTGTCTGCCAGATTGAAACTGCAAAGCCTGATCTGAAAACACTTGCAAGCTGACTTTGTATCTCCAACAATAGTTAAGTCCCGTTAAAATCTATCTATCTATCTATCTATCTATCTATCTATCTATCTATCTATCTATCTATCTATCTATCTATCTATCTATCTATCTATCTATCTATCTATCTGTCTGTCTGTCTGTCTGTCTGTCTGTCTGTCTGTCTGTCTGTCTGTCTGTCTGTCTGTCTGTCTGTCTGTCTGTCTGTCTATCTATCTATCTATCTATCTATCTATCTATCCATCTATCCATCTAATAGGCACAACTCGCTTTACCATTTTTCAAAAAACAGGAAGGAATTTAAAACAGGCTGTGCAATGCATCTTGTGGCATCATGAAAATCATTTTTTTTTTTGCTTGTGAATGACAACTAAATGACTTTTTCAATGGCATATGCATCAATGTGTCTGAAGCAATTTAATGCGGCATCTATATACACACACACACCTATATTTATAACATCATTTTTTCTACACACAGAATGAAGCTGTATGTTTTCTCACTTGGAATGTAAAACCTTTAAATCACCCCAAACCTTTCATTGAGGATTCAGCACATTTGGGTGTGATAATTATTCAATTATTCATGCAGTACATTATATCAAACTCTTCTTGACACACTGAAAAACATCATTGAAGACCCAAAACATAGTCAACATGAAAACTCTTGACTGTTGCACATTAATAGTTTGAATTTTTACAATATGGTTATGGTTCAAAATTAATTTTAATAAATTAAATTAATTAATTGATTTTTCTTGTATGTCATAACTTTTGAATTCATTTTTTTTTACGTAAAATACCATCTTGCATTCAGATTTTTTGTAAATTTACTACTGTTAATATATAAATACTTTTTTAAATTAGTAATATGCACTGCTGAACAATTCATAAGATGAATTTATCAGTATTTGGACTTTTTAACCCACTTATTACAGATAATGTTAATAATGTTTTATTTATTCATAAAAACCCTTAAAAATATAACATAGAGTAAACTTTTAGTAACATTTTAGTAACAGCAATCTTGTAATATTTTAATCAAATATTTATTAGAAAAAAAAAAAAAACAATCTGCTACCAATGGTAAGCTTGTAGAAAACTGAGATTAAACTTATGGTAGGCTAATTAACATAAAAACAACACAGCTTATTATAGTAAATCTATGAAATGGGAACTATTAAAGGACAAAAACTGTTATTAGCACATGTTCAGACTACATAACTTGATGACAGAAACTTGATGTGCATAAGGACGACATTTATTAAAATCATGTCTATTAGCAAAAAGTTTATTTAGTTGTCTTTTTGTTCTGCTTATGGTTTATACTCATTTAACAACCATCAAGAAAGTCATTTTCCAAGCGTGTGCTCGGGCCTTACCTGTCCAAACACTGAGCTGAGAAAGGGTCGCAGGTTGAAGTCTGCTTCGGAAGATGCTGCGCTGGACCTCGCTGACCTCCGGGAGGAGCGGCTGGAGGACGCGGGCACCGGCGAAGATGAGGCGGTGGAGGCTGGACCCACCTCTCTGCTCGTGGAGGAGCCCGGTCGAGCCGGCGGAGGAGACTCAAAAAAGAGCGACGTCTCGTCTCTAGACTCGGAGAAAGACTGAGTTCTGCTGGGCATGCGAGCGGCGTGAGAGTGCTTGGGTCGGGGCTCCTGGGGCAGGTCGTCCCGGGTGGAGCGGTGGCGGTGATGGTGATGATGACGATTGTGGTGGTGATGATGGTGATGGTGATGATGGTGATGTCGCCTGGTTGTCTTGCGCTCTTCTCCACCTGGAAGCTCCGACAGGTCCTCCTGACTGCGAGCCGCGGAGAGAGCGTGTCCGTGGGAGGGTTGTGGGTGGCTCTTCTCTGCGCTATTCCGGGTACCGACCAGTGAGGGGTGACACAGGGGTCTCCGCGAGCTCGCATCGCAGTCCGCCGGCTCCGCTCCAGATGCCGCCGCGGAGCGCTGATGCTGCGGTCGCCGATGATCGGGCGGCTGGACCGCGCTCCTGGCCGGTGCAGAGGATCTCAGCAAGGAGGTCGTCGATTCGCTTTTGGGGAGCGTGAAACTCATCCTCTGCCTTTTCAAATGCCCTTGAAGGTAAAGGCTGACCTCCGATGTGTCACATTATTATGGCTTGAATAGAATAGCCCGATGTAGAGAGCTGAGGGTACATCGGTACCTCCTCGATGGCATGTTGGGCTTGAAATGATGCTGTCGAGATGTTGGAGTTGGTGCCACCTGATTGCTCCGTAAGGCGGTGTAAGCGCTATTCTGGTAGGACGCGTAGGTATAAGGGGAGATGGGCAAGGAAATAAACCAAAAAAAGATTCAGAGAGAGAGAGAGAGAGAGAGAGAGAGAGAGAGAGGGAGAGAGAGAGAGAGGACACGAGGAGAACGTATGTTGTGCATCATCAGATGCCTGTGGGTGACAAGACAACATACAGTGTATGGACCAGAAACATATGGAAAGGATTTTTCACTCCGTTCATAAACAAAGTGGGCTAATTATAAAATGTGATCCTGCTAAATAAACTTAAAGTTTTAAAATTATTATGTTGAGCAAAATCCTTATCCCTTATGGTTTTATGGTTATTTGGACATTACACATATCAAATGAGTTTTTTTTACAGCCTACATAAAAGCAAAGTGCATTTTTATTATGCAAAATCATATTATAAAAAGGTCAATAAAATAATGTTTTTATAATGGACGTCATTCATTCATTCATTTTCTTTTTAGCTTAGTCCCTTTATTAACCTGGGTTGCCACAGCGGAATGAACCACCAACTTATGCAGCACGTTTTTACGCAGTGGATGCCCTTCCAACCGCAACCCATCTCTGGGAAATATAATAGGCATATGTTTAATGGGAAAAAAATATTTAAATATAAAAATGTTTTATTTACTTTGAAAAATGTTAGAACCATTGGCACATCCCCCCAGGAAACTCGAAGAGGTTTGTGACAAGTGAAATTTCAGTAATGATGATGACAGAATTTTCAGTTTTGGGTAAATGAACTATCCCTTTAATATTTATTTTTTTCCTGTCAGTGTAAACTTCTGAGGTAACAGGTTGATCTGATAAAACATAAATAAATTAGTTTATAATGTATGTTTAATTCAATACCTGTGTTTAATATTTAATTACATACTGTCATAAACCTCTGAGATGACACAAATAATAAAATGTCTAATGTAAGACTTTTAATTTAATTAAAACGGAATGATGCCTTTTTATTAAGATGTATGTTTAATGCAAAACCTGTGATGAATATTTAATATGGTAAAGCTCTGATCTGACAGCTTAGCCTATTAATAAAAAACAACAATCAAATACTTTTATAATACATGTTTAATGGAAAAAAAAACATGTATTTAAATTTCAATGACCTGTAGGTTATGTAAAAGTCTGAGCCAACATTGTTTTTTTCTTTTCTTTTTTTAGATAAAATGAGAAATTAGATAAATATAGAAATTCAGATAAATGTTAAATGAGAAAACAAATCTAAACTGTAATTATATATAATGTTTACTTAACTAATGTCTGACAACTTACAATAAAAAAAAACCTGGTTTATCACATAAATACATGTTTATAATATTCATTAATGCCTTGTTTATGTAAAATTATAAGGACAATGTTTATTAGATAATATAAATGCAAACATATTAAATACATTTGTTTACAATACACGCTTAATTAATAAAAAAAAAAATATATATATATATATATATATATATATATATATATATATATATATATATATATATAATGTGTAATGTAATGTAACAGGTGAATATAAATTAAACAATTTAACAAGAGTTTATATTCAGCCTACATTATCCAGAATAAAATTCACAACTCACAATGACAAGCAAAAATACAAAACATAGCAATGCAATATGAGATTCATAAAAGCGAGTGATTAACTCATTATTAATTCAAATTTCAACTGATTTTTAAATTCATCTTCCCATAGTCATTAGTGTCTGTTCACATCACTGGCATAAAGAAATCACTATATTTACATGAGCTGCACTAAAACTAAAACCCGTGGTTCAGTCTCTTGAATGCGTCCTCTGTCCCGGAGTAATGAAGTTTTCAGAACACATCATGTTGAGGAGTCTTCTCTCTTCTCTCGCCCACAGGTTTACACTTGATTAAACACAGCGTCCCTTTGCGCCGCGTGTGCAGGACATCCCAGCCTTAGGCCACTGCACGGTCCATTTATTCCTCATGAACCACAACTGAGAGAACCTGCATAAAACATGACATTCTGACTCCAAAGTCCACCTTGGCCTTGCTCACTACAAGCCTTATTTGCAAAAGGCGGATACAAAAACACACAATTTGTATTTAATCATTCAGTAGATGGTTTTAAAACAAAATCAAACCAACAAAAGTGTCGAGACGAGAATTAGTTTAAAATTAATATTAAGACTATAGGATTGAGTCTTGTTTGATGATTTTCCAAGTAATGTTTAACAGAACTAGAAATCTTTACAGTATCATGTGTTTCTTATGGAGAAAGTAATTTCTTTTAGTTTGGCTGGAGTCAACACAATTTTTTAAGGTCAATATTATTAGCCCCCTTTATTTCGGTTGGAGGTCTGGGTGGTGTGCTTGGGGCTTCTCCACACTTTAACTCTCCTGGATATGGGAAAGACAGTGAAGGTGGACTCATCAGTGAACGATACATGTTTCACATTGTTCTCAGCCCAAGCTTTTTGCTGCTGGCACCATTGAAATTGACATTTGTCATTGACATGAGTGACCTTAAGGTTTAGCTATAGCAGTCTGGCTGTCCTTTTTTCCTCAATGGTCTAGAGCACCTAGCTTGCCACTTAATTAACCAAGTTAGGCCTTTAGGTAGCACATTAGGTTAAATACTAGTGTCTTTGTTACAACCCTGGTCTAGGGCATCAAGGACGTAACATAAAAACCAGTGAAATCTGGTTCATTTATTTGTCTTTATTTCTCGTTTTCTTTTTTTTAAACACCCAAAAATGTGGAGCCAAATACCTCAGGGAGGACCCACAGCAAAATAATAAACTCCGGTTGGTTAAAGAACAAACAAAAGTCTAAATTTATACAAATGCCGGGAATACACAATCAAAAATATCACTTGCAACTATATTTTTCTATAACATCAAATGCCAAACAACACACCAACCTGGAGTACTGGGTCACTCCAGCCAATCCCAGGGCATGTCGTCTTCATAATTGGGGCCTGTGGAACGGAAAAGAAAGAAAGACACACACACACACAAACACCTGTGAACGCAACGGTCTTGAAAAATAAACAGAACTCAATTAAAATTCCACAGGAAGACTTATAATGTGTATATATAATGTAAAAAAATCTTGCTGCCTTAATTTTTTTGTTTAATCCAATTAAAATTTTGTAATCTCAACTCAGATCAATCTAAGTAACTAAAAACAGTCAACTAAACTTCGTATAACTTGAAAAAATAGTCGAAACCTGATCAACTTGATAAAATAACTTAACGCAGCATAAAATATTTGTTGTCTTGACTTTTTGTCATTTTATTTGTTACAGTAGAAGAACTGCTCTGTTTTAGTGTATTAAAACATGTATTTTTATTTTGTCAGTTGTTCATTAATAGCATGAAGTACTGACTACAATAGAAAATATCATGATTATCCTAAAGAAAAATGTGTAATGTAATGTGCAGTTTGAAATGTGTATTTATATAGTGCATTTATCGTGTATGGCATACACCCAAATGGCTTTACAATCATGAGAGGGGTCTCTCCACACCACACTTGGATGATGCAACAGCAGCCACAGGACAAAGCCGCCAGTGCGCTCACCACACAGCAGCTATTGGTGGAGTGGAGAGACAGTGATACAGCCGATTCAGTGGATGGTGATGTATGGGAGGCCATGATCAGAAAGGGCCAATGGGGGGAATTTAGCCAGGGTGCCAAAAATGTGCCTATACGACTCTGAAAAAAGGAACCATTTCATTAATATATTTGTTTCTCTGGATTTGCCATTAATAGGGACAAGTTCTGAGCCAAATTTTTTATTTTGTGTAACACAGTATTGGGAAAAAAATCAAAAATCCACTTAAAATGCTCTGTGTTTATGATTTATAATTTGAGTAATTTATATAATTATATCTTTTTTATTGTAATATAGTTTTTTTTAAATTTTATAGTAGCAGGTTTACAGACGTTCATATTAGTTTTAAAGTTACTACAATTTTATATGACAGTATGATGACATTTCCAGCTGAAACAGAATATTGAGTAGGGGGGAGTAATTTTTGTGCTCCTCCTCTCATCTTTACCTGTCAGCAAACTAATGGCTGGAGAGGTGTGGCTAAGCATATTTTTCCCATGCCATCATTAGAGCCATTATAAATGATCAGATTTTATTGAAGGTTACCAAAACAGTGAATTACAGTAAGTTAACTTGAACAGTGAATTTTATTTCAGTGAATTAACTTTGAATTGTTTTTAGGACTTAAAGTGTGGGTTATTACAAGTAATGTAAACAAAAACAAAAGTAATGTACTTCCTGTTACATTTTCCAGTTGTATAGCTACAGAGAATCCAAAAAAAGCCACGTATTGAAAAAAGCCATGATTGAATCGCCTCTTGTTATAGTTATGAAATAGTCTGACAACAAGCAGGAAATGATTATGGGCCAATGACATGACCACATTGCAATAGACTTTAAACAACACAATTCTTTTTATGAAGTTTAAATTAAGAAATCCATATTGGTGGAATACTACCCCAGATTTTTAATCACAACAAAAGCAATCATCTTTTATTCTGAGTGGTCGTCATTTTCTGAATAACGATAATTTGAAAAAAAAATGCTTTAAATGACCATATTTTTCTTAGATGTGGAGGAAAATTTTTGAAAACAATGACCTGATGACATCATGTTATCAGGATCATAAAATTAACCACAAATGAGCAATTTAACTCAAAACCTTTACCAATTAATGAGAAATCCAGAGAAATACTGTAACAACCCTAAAGTCATCTCTCAATGTTGTCCAGTTGTATTTAGCTCTGTTCAGATGAGACTACAGTATATCTCAACACTTCTGAAAATCTCCATTGATTTCCTTATTTAAATAAACATCTGATCATATGGACAAAGTGTTTGAGGTTTATTCAGCTGAAGGCATTTTGTTTTTAAATAACAGGCGCTGATACAAATTACAGGCCTGCGATGTGGTAATATCTGCCCTTTGAGTCTGTAAATATATAATCAGATGGAGAGGTTTTGCATGAATGAATGATGAATGAGTTTTGACAAACTGCATGCATTCTTATGTAAATGCTTCATTTGAGATTACTTAGCATTATTCCTCATTGTCTTTACAATGTCTGTTAGATTCAGGATTGTTGGGATGAAAATGGTAGAAAAGTGTATCTGTGTGAACATTATATTCCTCAAGTTGTGAAGACCAAATGGCCACACAAGTGTGGCAATATCAGTTAATTCAATTATTTTTGGGACCTTTTTTTGTCCCCATATGAAAAACTGCTCATAAATCAAATAGAATGATGTTTTTGGGTTGGTTTGAGGGGTGGGGTTGGGGTGGGGGAACGAATATACAGTCTGTACAGTATAAAAAATGATTATGTCTATGGGAAGTCCTCATAAAGATAGCTATACAAGTGTGTGTGTGTGTATCATTTTTAAGTAACTTT